TAGTTGCCGTCCAAACCTAACTAGTTTGGGGCTTTGGGACTTTCTAGGGCATTAACCACTATTTGGGACTAGTTAAAGCTGTGGAACCTTACTGTATGAATTGGGATTTGGGACAAAATTTTAGATATATCCAATTTTGACCAATAGTTATAACTATTTGGACGACAACTATAGACCCGGGTCTTGTATATGAACTTTTACGGTAAAATTAATTAATACTAATAATAATTCAAAATATTTTTAAAATACGTATAAGAATTTTTTTATAAAGGAATTATTGGCATTCTGATTCTAAATTTTGGCAACATAACTAATCTATCTGTTAAGATAACAAGGATTATTAACTGTATATATTAAAACTAATAAATATTCAAAGTGCATAGGCAAAGATTTACTTGATTTAAATTTTGTGAAATTATAAATAAATTAGTATTTGACATATTTGTAAAATTTATTTGAATAATTTAAATGTATTAGACACATTAGCAAAATTTGCAAGCCGACTAGTAACGATTTATAATAGCTAGAATATATATCGATTACAATTCCCACTATTATTTTCTATTGATTTAGATAGTAATCAATATGTTCAGTAATATTTTAATTATAATCGAATAGAATTAATTATTTAATAAATCAATTTAAATCAATTTAGATCATTAGCAAATTTAAATAGATAAATTTTCAAAAAATTGTAAAATGCAAAAAAAAAAAAAAAAAATCTTTTAAAAACTATCAAAAGATATTATTTTAAATCTTTTAAAATCTTTTAAATATATTTAATTTACTCTTTAATTGTATATTGCTAAAATTTGATTTATTAAGCTAACAATTAAAATTCTAAAAATTTAAATTAGATTATTAATTGATAATTCATGAGTTAACTAGTGAAAATGAGTAAATATGACGCAATTTAATTAATAAAAAATCTAATTTGTAAATATAAAGATTTTTTGTAAAACTTATTCATACATACTTGCTTGTAAGTATAAACTATTTATAATTCAAATAATATACCATGTTGAAACTGTTTAACCTATTTGCTACTACAAATTTACAAATTTGAATTACTTAATTTATACTCTTCTATAGAAATTATCAACTTGCTATTTTATAATGTATCTGTCTACTAATTTAAAAACCAACTAATAAAAAACCAACTTATCTAGTTTAAAGCCTGTCTAACTCAACTATTTGCTAGTTTAGAGACACTTAGACACTTGCTAATTCAATAGTTAAAATATTTATTAATTTAAACCATCTGCTTGTTAAAGTATATCTAATACAATTTACTCTAGATTTTATCTAACTAATTAAAATAAGTTATTTTATAGAATTATACAGAATTCATGAAGCAGAATATATTCATATAGGCCTTTCACAGTAGTAATATTTTATAAAAATAATAATAAGAATATACTAGGTATTAGTGTTCTGAAATTGGGTTTGGTTCAGTTTGTATTCAGTCAAAACCGAATCCAAACTTTAAATTTTGCAGATCTTCAAACTTGAACCTGAACCAAACCTAGAATTTATGAACCCAAACTGAACTCGAACTTGAAATATTGGTTTAGTTTAAGTTTGGTTCAAAGTTTAGTTTATAAACATGTTTGGGTTCGAATAATAATCAAACTTAAAAAAACTTAAGTATCTGTACAATATGTAACCTTGCACAGGACTATGTTACTATTGGTTAGGAGAGCTGTAGATATTAATCTAATTTAGCCCCAATAGATAACTAGATTCAGGATTTATAACACTTAAACACGTAGTATAAGGTCATGAAACTCTTGAGCATTATCACTTAACAATCAAAGATTAGTTATCAGGAAAGATTTATTATATATAGCAAGAAATACAAGATGATAATAATAAAAAAATAATACAACAATAAAAGAACATACTAAATAAATAATCTAATATCTAAACTAAACTACAAAGAGAAAGAGGTTGGGATCCTGCAGCCTAGTGGTCTAGGCATCCAGCCCTCCACGAGTAGGTTTCGGGTTCAAGTTCTAGTAGGTACGTTTATCTACAAATATTTGGAAGTATCTGCCGTGGGAAGTCCAAATGAATACAAGTCTGAATTAGGAATTTCTGGAAGGAGGTCCATTGTAGAGTAGTTGGCACTACGTGTAATAGTGGTTGTTATAAAAGGTTCTATTACACAAAGGTTGTGCATGTAAATCTGCAATTGACAAGGTAGCACCAACAACCCCTAAGGCGGCATTGGGGATCTTGTTTGGAAGGATAACCGGGCGGTAACCAGAATTGGAAAGTGGTGAGAAATGTGGTGAACACAAAGAAACCTGTGGTAAAGAATTGGCCTTACCAGATTTGGAATATCTCTGGCACATACAGAACTTACCGGCCAATAAGAAGTTGAAGCATGGAGGCATGTATGTGTTAATAGACCTAATAGGCTCTTGTCGTACCCATATGGGAGCCTTTGGTGTTAAGAGGACTTGGAACCACCAATATAGGTAGAGCTAATGTAAGTGCATGTAGTAGTAACCAGAGGCTACAACTGCCGAGAATCACCATAAAAAAAAACAATGACGCACCTGTTACCTCTGAGCTTTATGATGTCCTCCAACTATACTGACTACTGAAAGTATTTGCGAAACATGCCTGGGCAGCCTCGTTACTATATTGGGAAGTACAGTCATTAGCACAAACCTAATTAGATATGTTAAGACCTGGGTCCTAAAAGTCGCAGAAAACTAGCTAGTTATGGCAGCATGCAGGCTTGAGATACTTACCTGTTCAGATAAAGACAGCTGCATGGTTTGAGATATGAACTTCTGGAAGTACACCAAGTAGGAATTAAGGGAGAAACCCCCACTAACAGGCACACCAAACTGGAAGCAATAAGCACCTACCTGGTACACACTGATTTGGGAGTTGAAAATAAATAGTTTGTAGGTAATGTGGCAGACATATGAATACTAATTGGTGGTTGGTGAGTGATATATAAAATCCAGGTTAATCACATGTATGGGAATGTTAATGGCTCTGGTGGGTTTTAGCCATAGATAAATAGTTTTAGTACTTGATGTCCTAGTCCTAGTTCTGATATATAATATGTATGTATTTATAGCACCATCATATGTCAATTTACTTAAGTATTAATAAAAGTCTGGGGCAGAAGCTATACCCTAAATATTAAAAAAAAAAAACTACAAAGAGGAAAGGGAATCTGATTCTTAATATAAACTATATAATTAAAATATTGTAAGTTTTAATCATTATAAGGGAAGATTTATAGTTTTTAGAGACATGATTTGATAAAACTTAACTAAGCCTAGGAATGCATCAGTTTGGTCTGGTCTGTTCCAGTTCCTAATGGACCGATTAAATAGTGATTTATGGTCCAGTTATCAGTTCCAAAATGGTCCTTCTATAATTACATCATCTCTAAATGCATAAGATCTTATTGGTCGAAAATGATGTAATTACAGATTGTCAAATGTAAACAAACATCATATGATCTACATTACACCTGATCAAGAAATTTAATTGGGTAATACAAAGATCACTGTTATGTTTACAAGGACCGGTCTGAACCGGTCTTTTAACAGTTTCACAGTTCTTATTAGTCCCAGTTCAGAACCAGTCCAGACCGGTCTTTTTTAAAACTAACTAAGCCAAAAATCCAGGTCTTAAATACATTTTAATTTACTAAGAGCTACTGTACTATCTTTAATCTTAGGCTTATATCCTCTTTAATCAAACTTCAAGATATTAACAACCTGTAAGTACTATTGATATAGTGATATTTTATAAAGATGCATAATTTGTAAAATTTGTAAAAATAATCTGCTGTTATGACAACATCAAAATGAAGAATAACATCCTTATTTTCTACTATGAGAATAAGCTATAAATTTCCAATTATTCTAGCCTTTGCAAAAAATAAATATAGTAATACTATTTACTTTTATTTAATTTGTTTTTTTATTTCATTTAATCAGTGATAATTATAATAGTAGATGTAATTAAAATAAGCCAGATTTTATATTTATATCAACTTAGTTTGTAAGTATAGTCTAAAATATGTCAAAAAAATTTTTGCTGTTCTTTAAGTTATTCTATCTCAGTAAAGTTATAAATTATCTGCCATTCCTCATTAAGTCACTTATTTAGGTTTTGAATTTAACTAGTAAAGTATAAAATAATTTGCAAAAGTATTCAAAAACAATATATATACTTATTAGTCTTATTAGTTTATTGTTCCATATTAATTTCAAGTTGATTCAGGCAATTTATTTATTAATCGAATACAGTTAAACCTCTCTAAATGCACCTCCCTAAATGTACACACTCTCTAAATATATGCCATAACCTGGTCCCGAGCTCAGGACTTAGAGTTAAATGCATACCCTCTGTATTTTGCATATATAAGAGATTTTGAAGTCCTGAATATATTGATTAACCTCTATAAATGCACACACATAATATGTACAACAAACTTGCAATTAAGATCGCTATACTTGCCAATACCTATTCGTGGTATACAATTACTTATTCAAATGTAGAAATATTGTTTGGACATATATTATTGTTACTAGTATTTGTATTTTTATCTAGATCGAAGCCAAGAAATTCTATATAGCATGGGTATATAAAGATTGGCTAATCAATTTAATTAATAAAATTACTATATAAATAAGTGAATGATTATTATTAGTGAAGTTTAATTATCTTTTATTAATTAAACATTTTTGTTTTTCATAATACTGTAAACAAGAGTTGCCCAGAAAAATATGCATATTCATATGATTTATAATTATGGCATTAGTGAAGATAATCTGAAATTAACAAGTGTTAGAACTGAATTATGCCAAATTGCCACTAGTTAGCATAAAAAATCATAATAATTGGGCATTATTATTCAACAGAATTCGAATCTTTTTATATAAAATTATTTCAACATTCTACTAAGTTTTGAAATAAAAAAAGTTAAACCCAATATTGTAATAAAGTCAATTATAAAAATTATAAAATAAGAAATTAAATTTATCAGTTTCAATAATATTTTCAAAAAAGAAAAAGTAGTATTAACTGATGCACAAAAAGTTTTACTTTGCATGTATGCTCGAGAAAATAAAATAACATGAGCCAAATATGTTGACTGGGTTGAAAAACAATAGGGCATTAGAGTCGATGAAAGTACAATTAGTCAAATTTTAAAAACCAGTGATAAACAACTTACTACTGAAGTTCTTAACCCTGATGCCAAACAGTACAGATCCATTACAGTTCCAGAAGTTGAGGTTGCACTTAAAAAATTTGTCCTAATATTCAACACCAAACAATTTTGAGTAACCTTATACTAATTAAAAAGGCAAAAGCTCTTGCTAGAGAATTTGGTGTTCTATCGGAAATATTGCAATTCTCACATAGCTGGTTACAAAAATTCAAGGAAAGAAATAGTATTTGCCAGATAAAACTTCAAGATGAATCTGCATCAGCAGATGATGAAGCTATTATCAATGCTTTACCATTGTTAAGTTCAAAGTTTAATAAATATTCGCTTGATAAAATCTACAACATGGACAAAACTGGCCTCTTTTATAGACTAGAACCAGATTGAATGCTAGCAACTAAGCATATTGCAGAATGAAAAGTTAATAGGAAGTGTCTTTCAATTGTATTATGCTCGAATGCTAATAGACTACATAAACTAAACCTTTTAATCATTGGTAAATATGCAAAACCACGTTGCTTTAAAAACATAAAAATTAGTAATATGCCAATTATGTATAGAAATAATGCAAAAGCTTGGATGCTTATTACCCTTTTTCAAGAATAGCTTCAAGAATTTGATTTGCAAGTTGCTAAAAAACACAATAGCCAACATGTACTTCTAATTTTAGACCAGTATTCTAGTCATAAGTGGAGTAATTTACACCTACCACATGTTGAAATGCACCTTTTGCCTTCTAATACAACATCAAAGATTCAACCTATAGACGCCGAGATTATTATGAGTTTCAAATACAAATATTGTTGCCTACATATTAATTGGATGTTACAACAAATTGAAGCTGGAGAATAAGCAGAAGACTTAAAAATAAATGTTCTGCAAGCTATTCAATTTATAATTTAAAGCTAGGAAAAGATAAATTCTGAAACAATATATAATTGTTGGAGATACACCAAAATTCTTCCTGCTAGTTATAATGCGGATTTACGAAATCTTTCTGAGAATATTTCTCAAGATAATGGTTCTAAAATTAATGATCTTTCTAAAATGCTTAAAAATATTAATTTTTCTGATTCTATGCAAGTCAATAAATTTTTAACTATCCCAGAAGAAAAGATTATTTATACAGTTTTTAAAAGTGACAAAGCTATTGAAGAGCTTGTGGAAATATTTAAGGATCAATATGATCTAGAATATTCAGAACTTGATAAAATCGATGATAGTTTAGAGATTTCTACAATTATAGCTAATGAAGTATTTAAAAGTTTAGAGACTGTTCACTTGTATCTACTTCAACAAGAAAATACTAGTGAGAATCTTAAATTGGTTTATAAAATCAAAAAAATTTTTAGAGAAAAAAAAATTAATGAATTGCAACAAAGCACGATTGAAAGTTATTTCAATTAAAGTATAATGACATACTTTTCTAGCATAATTAGAAATATCAGCAAATTATTTTATTACGTATTATATACATACGTATGGTGTAAAAAATTTAAAAATCTCAATATTTTATATAGAGATAATACAGCATGCCGAAAATAAGTTTCTTAAATTATCGATCTTAACAAGCAAAAAACAATATGTATACAATAGCATGCTATTGAAATGACAAATTTATTGAAGTTTTTAGGTTTCTTACACTGTACGACCTAATACGTATATATGTACAGTGTTACTTTTTTTTTTTTTTTTTTTTTTTTATATAATGTTATAGTAAAAACTTTATTACAGTTAGTCCGAAGATTGAAAGTTATCTTATAGTCTACAAATCCAGGTAAGGGGACAGATAAGCTATTTATTTATAAC